ACTCCTAGGTGTGTCCTCGGTGTTGACCAGGCCAACTAATTGCTGCCCAGGTGAAGATCAGTCGCCCGTGGTTGATCGCGAGCAGCAAAAAAAGGACCACCTGCGACATAACCATGCCCAGCCGACTGCTTTTCGTCATACGACTGTCATGTCATCGTCGCCCTTTCACTCTCTTTTCCTTTTACGCGGGCGGACAACTGAGGTGAAGGCGGCTCATTCGTCTACGCACAACACCAGTGGTCACAGCATTAATCATCTTGTTTTGCCAACTGCACTTACACCGCCTCTTCACGCGGAAGCTGGCGTCTGATCGCAAGGACGCGTACATGGTCCCATTTGACTGAATTTCGTAGTGAACCGCCGCGAAGTGGCCAGCACAGCACCGAAAACGGGAGTGAAGGTGTCACTCCACAGGAGCATGATTCATCCCATGTTTTGAGGTTGGACATGGGGCGGATTGCCCTTGCCAGACATAGATACCGGAACGGCTTGCATCGCTCTTATCAAGGCGCGGACTGAGAGGCTCTGATAAGCGCCAAGGTGGGATTTGTTTGATCTGCCCCGCAAGACAGACAAATTTAAGGCTGCTTCCAAATTTGCCGATAGGCGCCTGCTAACCATGCTTTGGCCAAGCTGAATCGCTTTCCTCAAAAAAACTACTTCCCAGCTTGGTGCGCGAGTTGACAACGCGACGATAATGGATGCTCACACCAACACGAACGATCAACTGCACCACTCGTCCTCCGCCCTGTTGCATTGCATGACAGAAGAACCATGCAATAGCAAAAGGTCAGGGGTGCCGGAGCAAAGCCTCAGAAAGGATGGCCGGATCAAGATGCCGCCTCACCGGGTTCCCATGCCGTATGCCCACAGCACAAGCACAGGACGCATTCATATACCGTGCGTAGGTGACGGCCAACCATCGATGGCCACTGGCGGCCCGAGACAAAATTTCAAGATCTGGTGCTGGAAAGCGGGTCCCACCGAGGTTTGTTTTCGATAAGCCATTCGACACCTAATGATGTCAAACCTCGATGGTGGTGGTGGTGCCTTTGGCAAGCCGCCCGCCGCGGAGAGGCTGCGTGAGATGCCTAGTCTGGCCGGCGTCTCCATTTGTTCTTTTCTTTTTCTTTACTTTTGCTCATCGTGGAACTGCGCTGTGATTCTTCCTTTGTCCTGAAGACCAACGCGTCAATTGCTCTTGATCCTGAGTAATAAAAGTCGTAGGAATGTGGTCAGGCCAGTTTGCCCCGCCTTGGCGGGAAGTTGTTTCAAACCCAGCCAAGAATGGTTTGCATTGGCGTGTTAACGATTCAAAAGAAATAAAGGGTACCGACTCTAACATGCCATGCTTGCTATTCCGACAGCAACAACCTGTAGAGCTTTGTGGGGCTATGCCAATGGTGGAATTAGACTCATTTCTGGTGACATGCTGCTGGTATGGTTGGCCAGGGATGTATCTCAGCAGACTGTCACATGCCAAACACACGACAACTGGTATAGATGGCTTGCTCCATAATCTACCAAAGCAAACCAACACCAACACCATATCACGTAACAGTACGAGGCAGCAGATGGGGAAGTGGCTGAGAAGCTGCGGCCAATTGCATCGTGGACCTCAAGAGCAGACTGCATTGCAAGCGGGCGACGATAGCAAAGCGGCAACCAACGCGTAGCCCGTACAGCAGTACAATTAGCACATCTGTCTGCTAGTGGCTCTGTGCTCCGTACTCTGCACTATGTAACCTGTTGCCCGTTGGTTAGCTAAGGGGAATGTTTGAGATGGCAAGGCACTCAGGTGGATGATGCGTGGCGTTTTGGCAGCGCATCGCGCCGCTTGCGAAAGGTCACGTCTTTGTTGACGAAACATGGAGGCCAGAAAGAGGAAAAGAAGAGGGGACGACATCTGGGCATCCGGACATCTGGAGCCTCTACTCCGTAGTTATGTGGCCCACAATTGCTGCCATCCCCTGCTCCTGCCTCGTCTGCCGCCTGCCCCATGTCCAGAGCTTGTCTGGGTCACTTTCACATGTTCGCCGCACAACCTTCAGCCCAACGCCAAAGGAACGCCAAAGCCAACGCCAATGGGCTGCCAGGTTGTCGTGCCGGAGATTTCACCCTCCAACGGGCCGCTTTTGCCTCTGAGAGTGGAAACAAGTTGTCTTTAATAAATGTCTGGCCCACGTCAGTTTTGCAAGTGGCGTTTCCGATCCGCATCCATCCTTTTTAACCATTGACTTTCCCCTTCTACAAGAACGACCGAGCCCTCCCTTCTTTCACCACCACTTTTAACCACGCTCGATCTTGAGTTATTTACCCGACAAAGAGATCAAACGAGTCTTGTTTCCTCGCCTCACATCCACGTCTCCCTCTCTTTTGCCCCCCCTTTCCCTCCCACACATACACACACACACACACACACCAAACACAACGCCAACCACATTCTCAATGGCTGTCCCTCAGGTCAATGGCGATGTTTCGCCCCGTCCCAACTCTGCTTTCTTCCAGGTATGTTGCAATTCCACAGTATAGGATCAAAGCTTTAGCTAACGGAAGCACTTTTATAGCACCTCCTCGCCTACCCGTTGATTAGCGATAGCATCCACACTGTCAAGGCCAACGAGTACGCTCAGCGCTCCATCAAGCTCGGTGATTCTGCCTACCAGACTTTTGCTGCTCCCGTCCTCCCCTGGCTCGCCAAGCCCTACGAGTACGTCTCTCCCTACGTCGCTCGGGCCGACTCTCTCGGTGACAAGACCCTCGACCGCATCGACGAGCGCTTCCCCATCGTCAAGAAGCCCACCAGCGATCTGTACAACGACACTCGCAGCCTGATTTTGTTCCCTTATAACAAGAGTATCGAGGGCCGTGACCACATCTTTGAAGTCTATGCCAGCGAGGCCAAGAAGATTGAGCAAAAAGGCCTTGTCGGCCAAGGCAAGGCCGCTGTCTCTACCGCCTTTGTCGTCAGCAACGAGACTCTGGGCTGGTTGAGCAGCTTCCTGGCCGCCAAGAAGGCTGAGGCCACCACTGCAGTCAAGGAGAAGGTCAAGCAGTAGATGCTTACTATGCCAAATACACAAGACGCTTACATGCTTTCCAGCACTTGAACAATCTATCTTGATCGTCTTGCGTATTGGATGGTCTTTTTTTTTGCCCCTTTCTCGAGTTTGGTTTTGAAATTTGTACTTTGCTTTATGTTGGCGTTTTTGAAGGTTGCTGGCTTCCACGATCCCAAATGTCCGTCATGCAAGAGGAAGATGGCGGGACTTGACAGTCATGCACAATTGGCGGCGGACTCATTATACCTCGGAAGTCTTGGGCATTGCTATCTGCATTTTGTATCAAATCATTCCTCTCCTTTGTATATTCCTCGAAATCTTTGCACTTGCAGCTCCACTCGGGTTGCGTGACGATATACATGACAGTCTATGCAAGTATGCAAGTGTAAAGGGTCCAGTCATTGGCTTCAGAAGTCCTTGCTTGAGTGCACGACAAAGTCTTCTTTTATTTGACCCTGTATCGTTTTTCTGGGACTGGGAAAAAAACCATTTCCTCTCTCCTTGCTAAAACACTAAACAACAAGAAAGCATAGAAATGGACGGATACTTGGCATAGGAATCGCAACTCATTTTGGAACGGCCTCTGACGATGATCGAAAAAAGAGTGAAAGAATACCAAATGAAATACTTATTAGACGAGTTAATAAGTTGGCCCCTGTCCTTATCCGTGGCTCCGTTGATCTTGTGATTGTTGCATATGAAAGTCCGACAGTGTTGTCCTCGTGGTCTTTGACTTGAGGGCGGAAAAAAAAAAAGGTGGTATGCTTGAATTCACATGTGAAAGGAACCCACATCCTTTTCTTGGCGCAACTCAAGGGTCTTTTTTTGGTCAATTGCTCGGGGCGCTCATCCATTTTACTCGGGGCGCTGACGCCCCAATTTTTCTGCGGTCAACCCCGCTGCCAGACCCCATAGTACATTCTCAGTATAAATGCATGGCAGCTTTACTCAACACTAAAAAGCTCTATTAAGAATTAACGGATTTTTTAATAAAGGTGCAGCCGTGTGAATTTTTCAGCGGCCAGCAGCGTTTTTCCTTCTTTAACACCACCTCAGCCTGAAAGTGTACAGCGGCTTAAAAAAATCATGTAAATTACACAAGCACCTTATCATTTAATGAGGGCATTTACTGCCATGCATTTGAACTGAAAATGTACTATGGGGTCTGGAATCGGGGCCGCTAGACCAAAATTGGGGCGTGGTGGGGTATTGAGCGCCCCGAGTAAAATGGATGAGCGCCCCGAGCAATTGACTTTTTTTGGGCCTGCACCCCCCAACAGCGGCACCTGGTTTCCAATCCGGATATTAATCGCGCGCCGTGTCATCTCGCATCTTGTTTGTTGCATGGGCTTTGGTTTCGCCCGTCAGCTTGCTTTGTTGGGCATGTGACGCGGCAGTTGGAAGCAGCCTGTGGTGCTGCATTACCCCGAAGGAGCTGGTCTGGCTAGAGCAGCATCGTCAAACAAGTCCACATGTCCAGTTCAGCAGATGGAATTACCATCAGTTGGCCTGAACAATTGCTGACTGTGGTGTTTGTCCGCACTTGTTGCTTCTGCGCTCCGTGGCATTGCTGATGTAAAAGTGACTAAGGCGGGGTTGATTCTCTCACATTCCCATCAGCCAATCACGTCACCCAATTGGCCCCCCCTCGCAGCCAATAGAGCTACAAACGGCCGCAATATGGTAAGCATGACGGAGCTTCCCCAAGCTTCCGCACCAGCAAGATGGGGGGAGAGACCAAGAAATGGCTGAACGGCTTAAAAGCGCTCTCATTTCTCATACACCACCAATCCCCTTGATTTTGAACCAAGAAGATGAAACTTGAAAACAGCACACTCATTTCCGTCATCTTCTAGATTGCACTACAAGGCGCCACACACAGTCCCGCGCAACGGAGAGCGTCTATAAATTGCCATCGCCGCTCCCGATCCCAAACCCATGAAGTATTTCCGAAATACACTCATCGCAGCAGTCATAATTGGCCTGATAGCAGCCATCGTCTCCAAATACACCAACATACCAACGACAACAACTACTACTGCTGCTGCTGCTACCACCGCCTCCTCCTCATCCAGCTCCAGCAAACCCGCCGCCATCCCGCTCTACACCCCACCAAGCAAACACCTCGAAGCGTCAGAAATGTCGGTCCCCCGCGCCATCCGCAAGGCCTTCCTGGCCGTCGAGCAGTCCGAGGGCGCGGGCGCGCGCGTCCGCCGCTCCGTCGGCACGCCGCAGCTGCGCAACTTCTCGCCCTTCCTCATGCTCGACCACTTCTCCATCTCGCCCGGCGCAGGGTTCCCCGACCACCCGCACCGCGGCCAGGAGACCATCACGTACCTGCTCGAGGGCGCCACGGACCACGAGGACTTTGCCGGCAACAAGGGCACGCTGTACCCGGGCGACCTGCAGTTCATGACGGCCGGCCGGGGCATCGTGCACGCAGAGATGCCCCGCAAGACCGAGGACGGCAAGCCCAACGTCGGGCTGCAGCTGTGGGTCGATCTCCCCGAGAGGCTCAAGGCCTGCGAGCCGCGATACCGGGACCTCCGCGCCAGCGAGATCCCCACGGTCGACGTTGACGGCGGCAAGGCCACCATCAAGGTCATTTCCGGTCAGAGCCACGGCATCGACTCGGTCAAGGACCTCGCCTACACGCCCGTGTGGATCCTCGATGTCATACTGCGGCCCGGCGCCAGGGTCACACAGCCGCTGCCAAAGGGCTGGAACGCCTTCTCCTACGTCCTCGAGGGGAGCGCCTGGTATGGACAGGGACAAGACCGCACAAAGATTGAACAGTTCCACAATGTCGTCTTTGAACAGGATGGCGACGTCGTTCACGTCGAGACTGATGCCGACGCGGCAAAGGACACTCGTCTTGGTAAGTTACTCGCTATAGCTACCCTATAGCATGAATACAGTGTCAAAACATCTAACATGCAGAACAGTCATCATTGCTGGCACGCCTCTCGAACAAGAAGTTGTGCAATATGGCCCATTTGTTCTCAACTCAAAACAGGGCGTATACCAGGCCTTGTACGATTACCAAACCTTCTCCAATGGCTTCGAGAGGGCAAAAAATTGGAAGAGCGAAATTGGCAAGCCCATGATGGGATGAAGTCGGATTTGAGCCTGAACATGAGAAAATGACAGACATGGTCGGTTGGCGTTTGTGAATTAACATCTTTCATGCTTTTATTACGCTTTTATTACGAGTTCTGTACACTAGTCATTTGACATACCGAATGAACATTTTATACATAATTCGTCCAAACTTGGCATTATAAATGAATTTGCTACCGTAACATCAAGTCACCTGACCAAACCTTTAACTCTCAATCACAGTCAAAGCTAGTCACCACTTCAAAGACCCAAGTCAAAAATTCGGACCCCAAAAAATTATTGATTAATGTTGTATTTGAATGAGAGCAAGAAAGCCAGCCCCTAAAGAACAAGGCCAGATTGCCGGGGGGGTATCATGAAAACCGCCACAGGCGGGCCGTAATTCTGGGCCTACACGAGTAACCCGTCATCGACCTTGGACCTGTTTATACCGAATTTTCTTTCCATTTATAAAAAACACTTTGCAAACCAGATTTCATGCCCAACCTGCTCACTCCATCGTCGGCATTACAAGACGGAACCATAAACCATATGCCTCATTAACCCTCGGTAAACAACCCCAAGATAACTCATCTCCAGTCCACTTGGCAAACTTTGTGATTTAAGATCAACTCGGTAACGTGTACCTGTGCCGATGAAGATTGAGACGTGGCGCCTGAGTATCAAGTATAAACGGGTATTATGTATCAAAAATGTGCAACGTAAAACATCAAAAAAAAAAATAAAATAAAAAATAAAAAAAGAGGTTGAGTGAACCAAAGAGCTTCTCATCTTAAATGAGGAGAGCGGCAAGACCAGCAGCGGCAAGGATGCCAGGGGCAGCAGTGATCTGGGCCTGTGAATATCAGTCAGCAAAGTAATTACTACAAATGACGGTGCGTATAACTTACAGCAAGACCCTTGCTGGTGGAGGTAGCACCACCGTTGCCAGTGGTCTGGGAGCCAGAGCCGCCCTCGGAGGTTTGGGAAGCACCGCCATTGCCTTCCGAAGTGGACTCAGAGCCGGAGCCACTAGTCGAAGACTCGGAGCCGGAACCGCCAGTTGAGGACTCAGAGCCGGCGCCAGTCTCGGTGGCACCAGAGCTCTCAGTGCCGGTAGGGCTGCTCACCGCGGTGGCGAGAGTGGTGACAACCTGGGAACCGTTGGTAGTGTAAGTGAGGACAGAGCCGCCAGCGCCACCGTTTCCGCTGTTGCCGCTCTCAATAGTGGAAGTGGCAACTGGAGTAGTGATGACCTTGCCATCAGTGCCGGTTTCAGTGCTGTAGATGGTAGTGACTTGGGCACCGCTGCCACCCTCGCCGGTTTGAGTGGCGTCACCACTGTTAGTACCAGTTTGAGAGGCATCACCACCGTTGGAACCAGTGTGAGAGGCGTCACCACCGTTAGAACCGGTTTGAGTGGCTTCACCGTTGCTGCTAGTCTGGCTAGGACCGCTAGTTCCACTAGTAACCTCGACACCGGCACTCTGGCAGATCTTCACACCGTAATCAACGACTTTGTTGGCATCTTGTTGGCTACAGATGGCATGAGAGCAGTCACGGAGACCGTAGAAGAATCTGGGTTCGGCGCAGAGGCACTTCAAGTCGTTCGCCTGGCAGCCAAGCTCCTTGGCCTTATCTGGAGCAACCATGTTATTGGCACAGGTTTGCTGTGATTCTCGGGTCAGCAATCAGATCAACCCCTGTAGATTCAGGATGATGAAGCACTCACACCGCACTGAGCGAGGGCGGCAATGTCCTGAGCAGCAACTGCCGCAACCAAGGTGAAAGCGAACGCAGCGGACTTCATCTTGATGGTGTTCAATAGTTGTTTCGGAAACTTGAATCTGGGAACTCGGGTTAGCCATAACTCCATATGAAGGCTGATTGTCGTTGTAAAAGATTCATCGCCGAGGCGTAGCAGGCAGCTCGAGACAGTAGAAAGGGGGTTTCCAGAGACGATTAAATTGACAGTGTAAAAGAGGGGGGGGGGGCAGGGCTTCAGACTAGATGGTCTTGATGAGCCGTGGCCAAGGTGCTCCGGAACGGTGTCGTTCCAAAGACTCCGTCGTTCCCCTCTCCCTTACAAATTGTATTGACCTGTGATGCTCCATATGGGAGAAGAGGAGGTGAGGGAGCAGGTAGTGTGACGGTAACGTGACAGATTAAAGCCAAAGGGAACCAAGAAGAATGAATGGAGACTTACACGTTGATAGTGGACTTGTGAGTGAGATGAGTCTCGATGGCAGGGCAGTGCTTGAGATTGAAGAACAGAGCGTGGGTAGAGAGGAGTAAGGGAGAAGGAAAGAAATGAGGAGGGCAGAAGCAGATTTATGATGTGGACGCAGGAGCCAAAGTGCTGTTGATGTATTCGCTTCCTAGCCCAAGCCGTGCAAAGCAAGCACTAGTGGGCCGGCCAGACGGCCAAGGCAGGAACAGATGGCCGGCAGCCGTGTGCCACCTGCCCGGCTCCTCAGATGCTGCTCAGGTTCCGCTCATGTTCTGCTCAACCTTTCGGTGCCTACCCATGGCCCTTCTCGGCCACGAGACGGCCGCATAAACATTGGAGTGACGAGATGATACGGAGTGCTCCGGAATGGGGCCAGCAGAGCTGGGTTTGCCAAGGTAGGGTACCGAGGGACCAGGTACCGATCCTGGGCTCAATTATGGGCTCGCTGGGCTCAGGCGCACTGGGGGCATCTCTGGATCCACCTCAAGGGCCGTCTCAGCTACCTTTCTAGCAAAGTTCGTGGGGCCCACCAGCCACCAGCCACCCGCTGCACCCTCACCCTCAATAACTCACCTTCCACACGCACGCCCGGACACCCAGTTGGCCAATTGGCCATGCCGCATCTAGGGATCCTCGATGAACGCCCTGGTCTGCTCCATCTCTCTTTTCGGCGAGGTATGGCGGTTGAGGCTTGCTGCTGGCCGGCATGAATAACCATCGGTAGACAAGGCAGGCAAGATGGCAAGCCAGACAGGTATTGACAACACACAGGGCCAATCCGTCTTTGACGGCCGTTCTAAACGAAAACCAAGGAGAATATTGCAATTGAGTTGCAGTCAACCGCCGGAGTTACAGTGATGTACATACAATCAACGCCCAAGTCGAAGCACCCGAACCTCGCCTCCAGGTGTGGTTTTGGTGGTCTGGTGGCACGCTCTTCAAGGGTCACTGGTCGTAAAAAAGGTGGTACATCAACTACTAATTGTTACCAATGAGGTAACGGCACACTACCAACGTCCTGTTACGTACTCCGTACATCCCGCCCAAGCTTGAGAATCAGTGACGCCCATTGGGAACACGGGGGAGCCGCTCTTTCAACTAATTCCTTGGTTACCACCTCGCCGCTGCGTCGCCTCTGTCGTCATGTGGCAAATGGACAAACGTTGTGATAGTTTGGAAACCTGAATTTCTAGAATCAGGCCTCCCATGGCAAATTGAATGTCCGACTTCTAGCCGGGTCTGGAGGGAGGGGAAATGTTTATGGATGGGGTTTTCAGTTACACACCTGTTGAACATTTCTTTTACAATACGCCGAGTAATCTCGTATAGGATGAAACAAACGGTCGATGCCCTGGACTTGTGCCAAGGAACACAGAGATATTGCCCGCAAGATTCTCCCTTGAGAATGGTGGACAGGACCATCTGGTTGCTTGCTTGTTTATTCGGCCGACGAAAATCAGATTCAACTTGAGAAATACACCATACTCCGTACGGCCTGTGCGACTAAATCATCTTCCACATCTGTATCTCAATTTTAAACATCAATGCGTAGGTTGTGAGAGCAGACTGGAACATCATCGCATATGCACTAACAAAAGCCGTCTGGGCACTAACAGCGTGCAATTTTATTTGACGCAGACTGCCAGGGCAGCAAGACACACCAAACACAGGGAAGAGAACTGGAAGTATTGGGGTACTGGCGCCATACTCCGTACTGCATACTGACAAAGAGATTCCGCATTGGAAATTAGGTGGAATGCCAAGCTTCGATCGATTGATTGTGTTATGAGAGGGTCTGAATGGGGAAGGGAAATGTGAGGGGACCCATCGCGGCCATTCTCCTCCACCTTTAGGTTTACCCAATCTCCATGCGACCTTGGGCTGTTTCTTTGGGATGGACCAGGTCCCCTCTTACTTGGCCGTCATGGAAGTTCGCTGCCGCGCCACAATCGCCACGCGCGAACGGTTTCCCCAGAAAGGCTGGTTGCGTAATTTTCATCATTTGGACTATTAACCAAGGTACGGGACCCGGCAGACAGACCTGACTACCGCGGATAACATGTGCCACAAGAAGGGAGGCCTATGAGTCGAGACGGAGTGGTGACTGAAACCCTCAAATGGAAATGACCCCCGCTTCAACAAGACCAGAGAGAAACGTATCTCCTCGCCTCAAGCCACTTATAAACAACTGTCTGGGGATCCGCTTCCGAGCAACCAAGCTGGACCTCTGGCAATAATAGCCAAACTCGAAAGAGCATAACCTCTGTGGAGATGGCCGAAAGCCTGATGAGCTGCGATAAGTGAGTAATAATTATTAGTTGGCGGGTACTGACGCTTCCTCGTTACACACTCTTCCACTTACGCACAAAGAATCTAGAAGAGCCCTCTCTTACTATGGCCAGTCTTGATACCCAATTTTCTTCCCACGTATAAATTTCAGTCAAGCAAGACAGCTTTCTCGTCGGCTATAAAGGAAAGTCTAGTACGATGAACTCATCATGGTCGCCGCTATACCCCGTAACTCGCAACGGAAGCGAAGAGCCAATAGGCAAGACAGCTGTTTCATGGTGTTTAAAGTAAGCCTTCTGAGATGCTCCGTGAAAACATTTAAGACTCCTAATTCAGAGACAATGCCTGCGAATAGGCCGTTGTCACTCGTTGCCTCGCCCGAGTTGGCGCCCATTGATTTCATTGGACAAGAGTGATATCAGCTTACCTCGGCCACTCGCCGCTACTGAGATCTGGTTTTGTTCAGATCTATGACAGGACGAAGGGAAAAGCCCTGC